CACCACCACTGCACACTCGCTAGATGAGATAAAACAAATATGTCTGAACAGCTTTGGTAAAGTTGATTGAGATGGTTTAAGTAACTCCTAAACTGGGGATTTTTTCGTTTCAGAGACATAAAATTGAATCATAAAAAGCATAACATCGATCAAAATGCTGGTTATTCAATATGCTGGCCTTAAAAATGTGTGTGGAATCAATCATTAGTCAATTGGGTTGTTTAACTTCGAAAAATATACCGATTTTTATATATCATCTGATAGAGCTTTGCTTTCTGAACACAACGATATTTTTATCGATCCTGTAGGCATTCATCTCGATTTTTAAATAAAGATTTAAATGTTTTGATCGTTGACACTATATCTATTCGTTGACAGCTTGCTCCCATACAAAGTCCCACCAAGGGGCGCTAAGATGGTGATTTTGTGCTGGAAAAAATAAGACTCACTCACACACTCAAACACTCAACTAGAGTGTGTTTTATTCGATTAGATAGAAGGTTGTTGTTCTTGGCTAAGTTGTTCATGGATTAGAAATGTTGGATGATGTGTAATTCAATTCTTAATTAATTCACGCCTGGCAGCGATGGTGTACCATATGATTTCAAGATTTTTTTTTCAATTAGTTGATTTATTAAGGCTTTATTAATGCCAAAACGGACTTAATGGAGCCGAGAAACAGTGAATGATTTCATAATATTTAAAAATAATCATAAGAACATTATTAATGAGTGCTTCTTACTTTATCTGGGTGGCAGGGCCATCTTAACCACCCTTGCGGACTCCCTAAGATTAGATATCAATTTTCAAATTTTAGCACACATGAAATAAAAATAAGTACTTGCAACAATCCTTTTTCGTTTAAATTTGGTTTTTCTGTCATACTTTTTTTTCCACACATTACTGAATAAACTACATCTGTTTACGACTCCTCATACTTACAAATTTAGTAATAGAAGTGTTGATATTAATTTTTATCAATATGTTGTACTCATTATTCATGAAACCAATTAAGTCTGGTCTAATTTATTTCTCCGCATTTTAATATATCTTGAGGAAAAATATCTAAAAATATCTATTGGGATATTGAAGTATGTTAAAATCCGTAATCTTCATTAAAAATTGAAATCGAAATCTAAATTTTCTTCAATTTTAGTGCATTGGCACTACTTTAAACAAGTGCGATTACATTGCAAAACATCCCGTCTGAGCGCCCCTTTGGCATCACCTTACATGGGGCGAGCTGTCATTTTGTTAGTTATGTGGTAAAAAGTGATGCGATTATTTTGCTTTAATTCTCGCTCTTTCAGACGATGTATTAAAACCTAAAAAATATATTTTCCAAAATTGAAAAAAAAAAATTCGACAATTTTTGACGCCCAAAATATGAAATGTTTGAAATTGATCGTTTGAATATGATTTAAGTTGTATGTAAATCATTCTCGGAGTCTTCCTTAGCTCAGTCGGTAAAAGCACTGCTACAAAGCAAGACCATGCTGGAGGGGGCTGGGTTCGATTCCCAGTCCAGCCTAGGAATTTTTCGGGTTAGAAAATGTCTTGACTTCCCTGGGCATAGAGTTTCATTACATTTGCCATACCATTATACTAATGCAAAAATGGTACAGGCATTAAAAGCTCTCAATTAATAACTGTTGAAGTGCATCTAGAACAGTACGTTGAGAGCACGAAATAAGCTAATATGCGATAAGCAATAAGCTTGAAATGTGAAGAAAAAAAAAAAGGAAATTATTCGAAGCATAAACGATGAACACGAAAAAATCCGGAGACGTTAAACACACTGCCATTAAGGCATTTTTGAGTATAATTTTTCAAAATTTCACTGAATCAGGCTAAGAGTGTATAGAATAAGGGTTAAGTCGCTCAGTATATTGTGCCGACATTAGACTAGGCACAGCTTGAGCACATCCATCGGCACACCTTCAGCACAATCTCGTAGGCATTGGATTGTTGTAAATAAAATGGGAGCACTGCTGGACAACTGTCATTGAAGTTGTTCACAACATTACGTGCTCTTGACTGTATATTCAGGAACATCCTTATCCACAACAACATTCAAGGTGTCAGAAGTATCGGGTTGCGAGATGGGTATTGTACAAACAATCGCAGCTTGCTCTATGGCCGGCATAATAAAAAATATGACTCAAGATTTGTGTGCGGAGTGACCTACCCCTTGACATAGAATCACAGTAGGCTGTCTGGATAAGTTCATTTGTTTACATCATGGCTTCACCGGAGCAAGCACGTTTCGATTCGATCCTGCACGCTCGAAACGAAAATTTCGGTCTATCCAGAAGTTTTCGATCAAATTCTTGGGCAGAAATTTTAAACCTCGGTTGACCGAAAGATGTCGTAATTACCAAAATCTTTTTATAGCAAGCAAGCTACAGTTGTGGGCTGAAAACTGAAACATTCGTTACTTCTGTGACCATTAACCAGCAATTTTACCATTTCTGGAGCAGCATGAGGTGAATTGCCTTTTGTGTCCAGACTTGGCAAGCTGCCACTACTCAAATTCCACCAAACAGTGGTACAGCGAAAATGGCGTCACAGTGGTTCCCAAGGAGATGAATCCGGCCAATACACCTGAACTAAGACCAATCAAGGAATACTGGTCAATTGTGAAGCACATACTGAAGAAAAAAGGGTGGAACTACAATTGACCTGAAGGATTTCAAGCGCAAATGGAATTTGGCAGCCAATCAAGAAATTATTATATAATACAATGAGATCTACGACATGACATCTGAATTTGCAGACTAAGAAAATTTTGAAGAATACATGAGCAAAATCATGGCTCTTGGACTTGGATAAAATTTTAGAATTCGGAGAAGCATTTGCTAGAGAATTATGATAATAATGTGAAATTAGTTTTAAAGATAATTGTAGGGAATTCTAGGGAAAGTGATACAGAAATTCTGCGCAGAATTTCATCAGAATTTGACTATAAATTTTAGGTTATTTTGAGAAGTTTTTTAAGAAAATTGTAAGGAGAACTACAGGTGAATTTTGAGGTAATGCTAGGACACTATTCTAGGGAACTCTGAATGCCAATCTGAATTAATTTCAAGTGGAATTCCAAGCGAATTCGGAAGGGGTTTCAAAGTTAACAATCAGAATACGAAGGGTCCAAAATGCAGGGCAATGTTCTCTCACATCACAATTACAAGAACAACATGTGAAAAGGACATACAAGCTTTTTGTAAACAAACATCCTTATGCCCTTTTCTCGCCACCTATATGACACCAACGCAAACCATCAACATCGCCAGATAGGGGAAGGTTTTCCCTTTCCGATGATGTTGTTAGTTTGCGTGGGCGACCCTCGGTTTGCGAGAAGAGGGCCTACAAATGTTTGTTTACAAAAAGCTTGTATGCCCTTTTCACATGTGGCTCTTGATATTGTCTCATTGCCGATAGCGATCTTGTTCACAGCACCGCAACGCACAATTTTTTAATGTTGCCCCTTCAATAAGTATTTTGTAATTTTGTTGAAAAAAAGTGCAAGTAAAAGTGAAGTGCCAGAGGTGGTAAATGAACATAAGACTGATGCAAAATTTATTATTTCCGCTCCACCGTGCTCAAACGATTCCAAATCGGGTCCTGATAAACCTCCCAAAATTTGAACTCATTTGGTAAGAAACTGACATGGCACAAACCATTTGAAGTTTATATGTAAATTACTATGCAAAAACCTAATTTTTTGTTCCAATCTATCTACCAATTCACCATATCACTCTACTTTAAAAATGATAGGTGTGCTTGTGGAAAAATTTTCAGCTACAACTTTGTTGAAGACCACTTATCGATCAAATATAAGGAACAAAAGTTATGAATGATTCAATCCACAGATGTCTTATGATTATGCTCAATCAACTGTTCAGATGGCAACATTGGTGTTTCTGGCGCGTAGAATAGAGCACACAAATCATGGCTGCTTTGACACACTGCAGTATACAGTGTTGCGCACAAAACAGCTGGTTGATCATGTCATAAAATTATCATTCTCTTAAACAAGTAATAACTATTTTAATTGACTTTTGGCTTAAACACTACATTGTGCAAAGTTGTAGCTGAGAAAATTTTATATAAGAATAGCTATAGAACTTTTAAAAAGTGCAATATAGAAAAAGGCTAGAAGACAATGAACAAAAAGTTTGGATTTATCTTAGTAAATGAATTAAAATTTTTGAGAAACTAATAAGAATTGATTGATTTGGGACCGTTTGAGCACTGTTGAGCAAAAATGTCTAATTTTTCATCAGTCTAATATACATTTTACTGCAGAGCTGTCACCATATAACTTGTATGGAAGACACTAATGTCATGACATTTTTCCTTCCATTTTCATTAAATTTACCACCTCTGAGTGATGTCACATAGAATATAAATTAAAGTTGCATCAGTTTAATCACAGAGAAATTATTAGGATATCTGCCAAAAATATGGATGATATTTCCAATTGGCATCTAATTATTCATATTACTCTAAAATTACAGGTAGAATTTAGAGCTGGTCCTAAAGTCCTAATAGAATATATAAGAAATTTTAAGAATTATCAAAAAGTTTGGGAGGGTTTGGTAGGAAATTGCAAACATATTGCAACATATTTTAAAATATATCGATTTAGTAATGGAAGCACCCAAACTGTTGTTGAAGAAAAACCCGAGGTCGATGAAAGTTGAATAATCCACCACTTCAGACACGGCGTGCATCGTTTACTTCAACTAACATAAATTCCCGCATGTTCGAAATCCTTTGTGATTGATAATCTTTCTACGGAGCATTTGCAACTTTAAATGCACCCAGACTTAACACTTTCATAGTGCAACAAAAACAGCTCCTGTACCACTCAGAGACAGCGTTCGTTCATGAATAGTATTTGTATAAAATATAACCCGCCACACACCATTCAACCATCGTCGTTTCACCAACTGATAAGATAAAACTAACCAACCGATAGCAGATAACAACTGGTTACATCGAAACGCACAGCCTCGTGATTCCATTTCGCGGATTCAATCAAGTGGAATTTTTACCTTCGTTCCAGCAGCGGAACTTTGCTGAAAGTTTTGAAATTTAAATTAGCATCGCAGTTAGATTTATTCATCCCCGTTTCTTTAGTGCTACAGAATGTTCCACAAATGACGACGGCGACAACAGCGGACGGAGCAGAATTCGACGAATTATCATTCCGCTGCTAACCATCTACAGAAAACAACAGATCCCGACCCAAGAAGCGATACATGAGTGCAATTTAAACATCATAATCATCATCGTTCGCCAGTGGCAGTGAGACAAACAAAAAATCACCGGACTTTGTTGGAGCCAAGTACGGAGGTACCTACCGAGGTGGTAGTTTCATAACGGAGTGTATGTAGTGTGCCGTACGAAGAGAAAAAAGTGCAAATCAGTGACCTCAAGTCAAGGTGGTGAAATCATTGCAAATAAATAGAGAAAAAAAGTGTTATAAGAAGAAGATTAGGAAGTAGAAGAAGAAGATGTCCTACGAGTACAGCACGACGGGTCGAACCGCTAGTACAAGTTCGATCTATGACTACCCGGAACACCTGAATCCGTTCTACGAAGATGAGAACCACAAGCGATTACGGTTCTGGCAGTTTGGCAATCATCGATCGGATAAACCCAGATCGGACCGGCGCGGCAGTTTGGTCAGCATCAGAGATGGACTGAGAGATATGTGGTAAGTGCACCGACAATTGCCGGCATTGGCATTGGGCTGAACGGGTACCGAGGAGCCTTGCTAATTGGGTTATTTATTGTTGACTTTTGTTGAATAAACTTATTCATGGCACGTTTTGCTGCCGGCTTCTCGTTAAGTGAGCCGAATCAACCAGGAACGTGTCTATTAGAGAGTAGGTACAGCGCAAGTGGATTAGAGAATATGGGAGAAAAAGAGACGGGAGGGGGGGGGGGGGGTTCAATGGAGTGATACAAGATCTCACGTCGCGTCATTTTGGGGAACTTGACACCCACTATAACAGTGTGGAAAATCAATCAACAGTGTTGCGCAAGTGGTACCTGCTCGCAAACTTGAAATTACCCATAGGTAAAATTTCACCTAACATTAACATATTCTTTAAATTTAGACATTTTACCCATTAATGAGTTAAGACAATTTTCATCAAAATTGGTGAAATTTTACTACATAATGGGTACTTTCAAGTTAGCGTGGAAGTGGAAAATACTTTGGTTTGAACCAGCGTTGGAAAATTGTTTTCAAGTTTTTCGGTATTAAAAGGTTTATAAGAACCGTAAAACGGGTGGAAGTTTGGCATTTTTTACTGATAAACCTGAATATTTTTCAACCAAACAGATGGCACACGAACAAACACCTTCTAAACCTGTACTAGCTAATGCTGTTTTAATGTATAAGTTTTGATTTAAAACAGCACGTTGAGATTATTTATAAGAATTCTTATTTTAATTTGGTTCAGGTTCTTATGCAATGCAATATCCAGAAGCTAGCATTCATACTAGTTTTGTATCCGCTGAAGAAGAATCTTGCGTGAAAATATCTAGCAAAGTTATGGTTTGCGAAAAAACTACTTTTACTATCGCAAAATAGTTTTAATGTAAGTTATTCACATACAATCATTTTTATTATGGTACATTGTTCATTTTAACAAAATCTGACTCCACATTCAAAATTAAGTAAGAGTAGATATTTCGCCGGACTGGGGAGCAGTTAAAAGTTGCATATTTTATCACTTCTATAAAGTTGTAAACATAGAGCGATAGAATGCATCGGATGTTAGGTAAAACGTTTTAAATTACTATCCCGAGTAGCACACTTTCATCACAATAAGTTACAGCAACTTGTTTATGACTTAAATAAGTCGTATATAAGTTTCTACAATTGATTTGTGACAAGCGTGCTACTAGGGATTTAAAACTGCCTAAGAACAGACTGAACAAATTATTTCATAACAATATCATAAAAAAGAATTGTTGAGAATCGAAAATTGAACGGTGTTGTGATCAACTTCACCCTTTCAACTTGAATCAAATGTTTACAGTATTTGATAATAGAAAATCTAAGAAAATCCAAATTAACACACGATACCTGCGGTTAAATATGTAACGGCAAACTTGCAATGTTTGAAATATCATAGATCAGCCATTTATTGACAAATTTTAAATCTAATAGCGCCACTTGAAACTACATACTTTAAAAATTGATTCGGTATTAATAGATTTAAAACCGATTGATAAATTGCTGAGCAATGATTTTTCAAATAAATCCAATTTTCCGTTACACATTTTACCAAAGGCATCGTGTTTGGAGTTTTAAGAAAGTGGCCATGGTACTAAACACTTTAAGTGTTTAGAAAATGCATGATGATTATGCGGTTTATATAAATTTCCTAAAAATTGTATGGACGATTGTCTACGCGGGGGGAAAGGGGGGTCAAAAACATCTTAAAATTGGGCTACGTAGATTATGAACAGACCCTTATCCTAGTGGACCATGGTTCAGCTTCAGCCAAGGTCATTCGGATTTTCTACGGTGAAAAATTGCTGATCACGTCTTCCTTGAGACACTCAAGGAAGACGTGATCAGAGATTTTTCACCGTAGAAAACCCGAATGACCTTGTCTGAAGCTGAACCATGGTCCACTAGGATAAGGGTCTGTTCATCAAGTTAAGAGGGGAAGTAAAGCCGTTGGTCCCGGTGCAGGTTTAGATGGATTCAATATGGTGGGTTCATGGGGTATTGTCTCCCTGGCGTTTATGATTCCATAGCAACTCTGAAAACTTTCCTTGCAGGTCTTCAGTTAAAATAAATTAATTCTCAGTTAAGACTCTATAGACGACTAACGTCACTTATAATATCTGAAGTCCGGTTCCGCCACACTTATAACTCATACAAAGTTTCATGAAAATCTACAAAATTCCCTTCACTCCATGAAAATTTGCTCTGAACTTCTTCCCATCTCCCCATCGCTCTTAATTCTACCAAGATCTCAGAGCATCTATGAACATCTCGGACCTTACAGGAAAACCTTCAACCTTTTCTACGAATATTCCTGAACACCTGGGCAAATTCCAGAAATCAAATAAAGTTCCCTATATTTCCAGGAAGTGCATTGAGCTTTTTAAATAAGTCATCTGTCAAACTGCTACGAAGAATCCTAAAGTTCTAAGAAGTTTGCTGAAATTATACGATATTTCTTGAGCATCAACGAAATTCTCTTAATTTCTGCGAAGTCTGCCGAGCTTTTACAAAATTTACTGCACTTCTACTAAATTCTCTGCAATTCTATGAAGTTCAATTAAGTTCTACGAAGATCACTGAAATTCTACAAAGTTCACTGTAGTTCTAGAAAGTTAACTAAACTGCTACACAATTTGACACTTCGAAAATAAATAAAAATGTTCGAAAATCCCTCTGTTGTTGCTCTTCCAATTTTCTAGAAGGTGTTTGCCAAAATTGATTCCTGATCTGTCACAAATAATTCTGGTATAATAGAGATTACGTCAACATGGCTGAATCATTAATTTGACACAATAGAACACCTATATGTACACACTAAGATTTTTTTACAGGAGTCAGTATTTTTTTACTGGGTTTTTGAATTGCTGAAAAAGTCGGTAAAAATTCAAATGACCGTTATCCGTAAGGAATCAATGAAATCGACCAATTTTATTTTTTATCATTTAATGGGGTTAACAGAACTAAGTATGTACATGTTCAGAACAAATTTTCTCATTTATAAATTTTCCACAGATTTTTAACCTTTTACCGAACAGTTCCGCAATTCAAAAACTCGGTAAAACCGTACTGACTCGATTAGTGTGTAGGCAGCTTGGACGTAATTATCGAAATCCGATGCTTTAACAAGCCCGCTTCCCCGAAGCTTGGAAGGAAGACGAATGAAGCGACGGAAGAAAGTGAGACAAACGATTGAAAATTTGTCTGTAGATGCTTACTGAGTTACTAGAATGCTGCGAAGTTGCTCGACTTCAACAGAAAAAGAAAGCTAGCAGTCTATACGAAACATAGATTTTGTCAATTCAAGCTGATATTGTGATGCCCTGCTTACGCAAATGTTTCCTTCACAATGTTACTTATTCAATGTTATTCCATGCACAGTAAGGTTGGCCAACAGACCAACCCCCTGCTCCCCATTCGATCTGTATCAGTGTTCGGAAAAACTCAAAATCTCAAATCTCATGTGTAAGGTTATTCGCCTATGAGTTTTGCCTTGCAAAATTCAACTAGCATAGCCTAGCATACACACTTAGATTTTTTGCCGAGATGGGCACCACCGAGCAGGTCGGCATTTTATTTTGCTGAATCACCGATGAGTTTTCAGGTTCAAAGATTCATTGCTCGATATTTTTGCGTTATTCATTGTCAATTGACGTTTGAGCGGTTTTTATGAGTTTTAAGCTGAAATCATTTTTTGGCGTTGTGAGTTGGAGTGTGTGAAAATGGATGAGAACATCAAGAGTGAGATTTGTTTGTCAGATTCACACGCGAATTTATTCTCTCAGGGAGGCTCAATGAATGAGATTTGAGAATGATTTTCCGAAATCTGATCTGGGGCCACATTGCGCATCTCGAAACGAAAAACTTTTTCATGCAAGCGTTCGTACGAAAAGTCTTTCATTTCGAGATTCGCAATGTGACCCCTGTATTGAGATCTCCAACAACCATACCAAATTTAAACGAATTTAGTTATATTCTGAATTTGCGGGTTTTCTGTACAGTTTGTTTAGGGACCTGTATCAGACACGAAACAAAACTTTAAATCTGTTTGTCAAAAATTCACAAAATGCCCAATTTTTAACAAACCTGGAATTTAGATTGAGAAAACTATACAGAACAACTTTGTCAAAGATCATAAATTGATTCGACTTCTGTGCAAACATATATTAAGTTTTTACTTTAGGTCTAGTGCTCTGCGCTTACCTACAAGCTTATATATGTTTTTTTTTTATATTTACTTTATTTGTACAGGCTCAATCGAATAAACTTTACAGAGCCGAGTTATCCTTTGCGTTATACATTATTGCTGTCTTAAATTTAAAGTTAAAGGAACTGGACCGAGTACTCGCGGTTGTCTCGAGGTTAGTGGAGATTTACAATTTTTTGGATGGGAAAAGGGAAGAAGGAGGTTTGAAATGTGGTTTACGATACAACTATTTACTTAATCTTAAAGCATGAAATTATTTCTATTCATCTTGGAAACAAACATTGAAAAAAAAAACCCCCACACGTACAAAATACAAACTAAACACACGGTTAATCAAACTCACAATCTAAGGTTAATATCCTTAAAGTAAACATATATGAGTTTCATAAACTCCAGATCGCGTCTAGCCAAAATATCCCGAACTGGAACATTAGGTTGTCTACCTCGAGCCCGAAGGGAATCATAAAAATGTGATCTGACTCCACGATACTCCGCACAAGACCAAAGGATGTGATCAGCGTCCTGGTAACCTTGTCCACATTCACAGAGATTGCTGTCTTCCAACCCCACACGGAACAAGTGAGCGTTCAGACAATAGTGATTGGACATGAGACGAGACATCACGCGTATGAAGTCTCGACCCAAGTCCAACCCTTTGAACCATGCAAACTTCGACACCTTAGGGATAATTGAATGTAGCCATCGTCCCAAGCTCCCTTCACTCCATTGATGTTGCCAGCTAACGAGCGACTGCTGACGA